TTTTTTTTTTTTTTTTTTTTTTTTTTTCTTTTTTTTTTTTCTCTCTCTCTTTGATTTTAGGATATTGAAAGCAAAATAATCACATTTCTGAAGAATGAACTGGAAAAGTTTAAGAAAATATTGCAAAAAGAAGACTTTCAATACTTGGTGAAGGATTTTAATGAGAACATATGCAGTATCAAAGAAGCAGCTCTCGATCTCACACTCTACTTCCTGAGAGAGATGAAGCAAGATGAAGCTGCTGATACTTTAGAAGGTAAGAGACTCATGACCATCTGTCATATTGTCACTTATAAATGTAGCAGAGAAAACTAATACTAAAAAAAAATCTGTTTTTGTCCCTGTATTTAGATGAGCTGATCTTTGTTCATCAGCTAAAATGTAGCCTAAAGAAAAGGTATCAATATGTATTTGAAGGAATTGCAAAGCAAGGTGACTCCACACTTCTGAATAACATCTACACAGATCTTTATATCACTCAGGGTTGTAGTGAACAGGTCAATACTGAACATGAAGTAAGACAGATTGAAGTTGCTTCCAGACGTTCTGAATCACAGGAGGTACAAATTGAGTGCACAAACATGTTTGAATCACCTGAACAAGACAAGCAGGTCAGAACTGTACTAACAAAAGGAGTTGCTGGAATCGGAAAATCAGTCTCTGTGCAAAAGTTTGTTTTGGATTGGGCAGAAGGAAAAGAAAATCAGAATATCAGCTTCATATTTCCTCTTCCTTTCCGGGAGATTAACTTAAAGGAAAAAGAAAAACAAAGTTTGTTGGACCTTATAACTCAGTTTTTCCCAGAGACAAAAGGACTGAACATTGCAAGAAGAAACCAAAAAGTCCTGTTCATCCTTGATGGATTGGATGAATTTCGTCTTCCTCTAAAGTTTGATGTTAATGAGACATGGTCTGATGTATCGTCACCAGCCTCTCTGGATGTTCTCCTCACAAACCTCATCAAGGGAAATCTGCTTCCTTCTGCTCTCATCTGGATCACCACCAGACCAGCAGCTGCCAGTAAGATTCCTCCTGACTATATTGATCGGCTGACAGAGGTACGAGGATTCAGTGATGCACAGAAGGAGGAGTATTTCAAAAAAAGATTTGAAGATCAGAATCAGGCCAAAGAAATCACAGATCATGTTAAACAATCAAAGATTCTGTTTATCATGTGCCACATCCCAGTCTTCTGCTGGATTTCAGCCACTGTTCTCCAGAACATTTTGTTTGAAAAAAGAAATAATTATCTGAAAAACTATCAGGGTGATGACGCCTCCAAAACACTGCAGGAATCAAACACTGAAGACACTCCTAAGACTCTGACACAAATGTACATACACTTTCTCCGCTTTCAGATCCTGCAGAGCAGACGGAAGTATGATGGAGAATACACACCAGATGTTTCCTGGGATAAAGATGCCATCCTTTCACTGGGGAAACTGGCATTTCAACAGCTGGAAAGAAACAACCTGATCTTCTATGATACAGATCTGGAAGCCTGTGGTATTGATGTTTGTAAAGCATCAGTGTATTCAGGCATGTGTACCCAGATCTTTAAGGAGGAAACAGGGATCATTCTTGGTACCATGTACTGCTTTGTTCACTTGAGCATTCAAGAGTTTATTGCAGCCCTTTATGCACATCTGTTTCTAGACATCAACAAGAAAAGTGTGATTTTTCAAGACTCTACAGTACAGGAAAACAAAAATGAAGCCATGATTGATTTGCTCAAAACTGCAGTGGATAAGGCACTTGAGAGTGACAATGGACACTTGGATCTTTTTCTTCGTTTCCTTCTTGGTTTGTCACTCCAGTCCAATCGGCTACTCTTACGAGGTCTGTTGACACAGCAAGATGACAATGACCAAAGCAAAAAGGAAATAGTTCAGTACATCAAGCAGAAATTAGAAGCTAATATGTCTCCAGAGAGATCCATCAATCTGTTCTACTGTCTGAATGAACTGAACAATCAAACTCTGGTGAAAGAGATTCAGACTCACCTTAGCAAAGGAAGTCTCTCATCTGCTGATCTTTCTCCTGCCCAGTGGTCTGATGTGGCCTTTGTGTTGTTGACATCAGAGGAGGAGCTGGAGGAGTTTGAGCTTCAGAAATTCAAGAAGTCAGACGAGTGTCTTGTTAGATTATCAGCAGTCATCAAAACCTCCAAAAGAGCTCTGTAAGTCATTTAATTAAATTTATTTAGCAGCTTTTTAGATAACAGCAGCAGAAGAACAGTATAACATTTTTTTTATAAAACACTTTGTTCCATAGTTATTTTCGCTCCAATGTGAAGTTATCTTAAACTTCCTATTTTAAGCCTAAGTCTATCAAGAACTTCTCAGTGTTCTAATCATTAACCTCCATATTCTCCACCTCAAGACACTAAAGACAGTGGAGTGCTTTCAAATGTGTAGCTCATTGTCAGTAAAGCTATAAACCTTAAAATGGTATTCCTGCTTGTTTGATGTAGCAAATGTATCACTTAATCAAAAATACTAATGATGTTGTAGGTACAATGCCAATGTAGCCATCCTCACAATATTTTTTACTGTTCAAGTAAGAGTAATAGTTTGAAAATACATTTAATATTTGTACTTAGCTCATACGCTGTGCTGTATTATACTGTTGGTATTCAATCTAATGTGATATATTTTCCTTGTAGCCTGAATGATTGTGACTTAACAGACAGAAGCTGTTCAGCTCTGGCTACAATTCTTGGATCAGATACCAATCTGAAAGAACTGAACATGAACAATAATAATCTGCAGGATTCAGGAGTGAAGCTGCTCTGCACTGGATTGGAGAATATAAAGTGTGAACTGGAGATACTGAGGTAAGTTGTGTGATAATAGACAAAAACTGATCTCAACCAAACTTAAAGATTGTGATTTAGTTTTACATATTCTTTACAAAATGTTCATTCAATTCGTTAAATAGTTTCATAGTTTTAGTTTTAGTCTGCATACTCTGAAGCTCGTAATTTATTGTATACAAAAATGTTTATATACAGTGACTTCTACTGCAGCAAATGTACATTTTCTATGGGTTATTTAGCGAAAGTTAATCAGGAAGTAGCGATTTTGTTCTCTTCAACTAACTGGATGGAAACGGTGCTTTATTCGCAAATGTTTAATGTGATATTCCAATTTTGCGCATAAGTTTAATTCATAAATTTGGATGGAAGCATAGCTATTGTGAGTGACTTTAAGATCACAGGAGATTCTCAGGTGAGTTGACATTTTAAAGGTCTCTGAGCCTTTTGTTTACCCATTCATTATAGAAGGTCACTTTAGGGATTAATATTGTTAAGGTAAATTCTACTATAGCTGATTAATCAGTTGAATTTTCATTCTTGTTCTAGACTTTCAGACTGTAGTATCACTGAAGAAGGTTATACAGCTCTGGCTTCAGCTCTGAGATCAAACCCTTCACACCTGATAGAGCTGGATCTCACAGGAAATGATCCTGGACAATCAGGAGTGAAGGAGCTCAATGATTTACTACAGGATCCAAACTATTCACTGAAGACACTGAGGTGAGACATGATGAAGTAATACAAAACAAATTAAATACAGGTGAATTATTTATAGAAATATTTCACTAATACAAACCTGCTGCATCAAAGTAAATTCAAGATAAACTAATTTACACTTCTGTCCATCAACGTTGGATGTTGTTTTTCATCAAGTTTATTTGGGAATTAAATTATATCCTATTTCATCTTCTCTTCTGCAGGTTTTTGGGTCCTGCTGCAGATGAAGCCTGTCAGTATGTGACTGGAATTGTGGGTAAAAACCTGTTACTCCTTAGAGAACTGAATCTGAGTGAACATGAACTAGGAGACACACGAGTGAATCAGATCACTGCTCTACTGCAGGATAAACACTGTAAACTCAACACACTGATGTGAGTATTTTTTAATGTGGTTTTTATTGCACAATTAATCTATGTTAAAGAAATCAGGTGACCTAAACACAGTTCTCAGGAATCATTTAATAGTGAAAACAAGCACCTTGTGTTCCTAAATTCTCCCACTCATTTTCATCATTTTAGTCTGCGTAAATGTGGTCTAACAGAGGAAAGTTGTTCAGCTCTCGCTACAGTCCTGAGATCAAACTCCAGTCTGAAAGAACTTGACATGAGCAACAATAATCTGCAGGATTCAGGAGTGAAGAAACTCCAGAACGGATTAGAAGATACAAACTGTGCACTGCAGAAACTCAGGTGAGTTAAATGAATGAACATTTAATTTTAATAATAACTTTTGTTTGTTTAAAGTTAACCCTCTCAAGAGCACAGAGGCCCTGGCACAGTCACATGTGTTTTTATCTTATATCAGTAGCAACAACTTGCAAGTCATACACACATTAATGGTCATACAGATAAAAAGACGACATCATTTGAAACTGTAAATGTCTACTTGTATTTGTGTCCACTCAATAAAAAACAAAATGTTGTGCTTATGTAAAATACAGGGGGGGGGATTTATTTTTACTCTCAATATTAAAACCTGATTTTCTTAGAAATAGTGTACATACGTGTTACACAGTTTGTGCTGAATGTAGTGTTATGAGACTTTTGCCATTAACTCTTTCACTGGTGAGTTTAAAATATTCTAGCTGTCCCCCCAGAGTGAGTTCTTTTTAGGCGATCATTATTTTAGAACGTTTCCTCTTATTGTTTCCATAAAGACGCGTCATGCTTGTCATGTGACACACCGCAGCCACGTAAATTCATCAATTTCTCCCAAAATACATGAAGGTAATGGCTGGTGAGCTTGGAGAAGAACAGAGTGAACTTTATAGTTATTTACACAATGTGTATCTGATATTGCCGCTGTTATAGACATCGGTGTGTATTTTACAAACTATAAATGTATTGTTTTGCTAGTACATTTGTATTTAAATGTCTAAAACCTAAAACAAACATTATGTATGTGGTTGAAAACACTGCATAGTTGTGATTATATGACAAGGGCTGAGCGCGTCCATCTCTGGCTCAGCGCCAGCCATAGCAGGAAAGCACATTTGAATCTGGCAGTTAATATGGTAAAAGTAATTGAAATTAAAACAAAAGTTACCAGGAAAAATGACTGTAGTAAAATGATCAAAATAATCACCATAGAAAATAAATTATATTTTTTTCATACAATTATGAATTGTCAAATGCCTTTTATTTAAAATCTCTTTTCTCTAGACTTTCAGACTGCAGTATCACTGAAGAAGGTTATAAAGCTCTGGCTTCAGCTCTGAGATCAAACCCTTCACACCTGATAGAGCTGGATCTCAGAGGAAATGATCCTGGACCATCAGGAGTTAAGCAGCTCAGTGATTTACTACAGGATGAATGCTGTAAATCGAAGTCCATCAGGTAAAGATCTCACTGGAATTAAATTACAAGCTACCAGATTGTCAACTTAATTTTTATAAATCATATAAATATCATATATATATCATGGTGGATTCTGCCGCTGTTGTGAGGAATCATTCTCAAAGTCTTGGGGTTTTGATGCCAGAAGAGATTGTATTATCCAAGACAATAAAACCGAGAGAACTCTGCAGAGCAATCTCCCGAGTCTGTGTCTGGACACTCTTTTATACAGTTTTTTTCCTTTAAGGCGTGTTCCATGTATTTCCTACATCCTGTCATTGTTTGCCTTTTTTTGGCTATGTCTCCAATCTGTTTCCTGCAAGCAGACAGGAGGCCCCAATTCATGTTACTTTAAAGGAAGGCCCCATCATATATTTTTTGTCTCGTGTCAAAACAGGATGTGCAGTTTTACCATAAACCGTATGTCTGCTCATTCCATTCCCAACTTCACCATATGTAAGCACATTCCATTCTCATGCAGGGTTCTGTACACACAGGCAAATACACATAATAGTAAAATACCTTGATACAGAAATGGATATATTCACAATGATCTTGATTAATTCATATTTTGATTAATAAAAATCTTCTACATTATCAGCAACTGCACCAAATTTTACATTGTCTCAATTTGGGCCTCTGAAAAAAATTTAGGTGTTTTCCCCTCCTTTTCACAACAACAACAGATTTTGATAATACCATGTTCTCTTTAAACAATTCAAACTGAAAAACACTTTA